TGTTGTATTCACATCTATGGGCTTTCAGGGACAGCCTGAAACTATCAGTTCCCTGCAATGCTCCCAATTCCCAGTCAGAAGCACAGGGCTCATTCTAGTTTTCTGGTTTTCTCTATTTGTGACTCTCCTTTTACACTGTGAGAAACTTGACTTCTGGAAGCTTCCGTATATTCACTTATGGGTCAATACCACTACGTGTAACCAATCTCCCTTGGAAGGTGCATCAACACCCATGCCCAGCTCTTAGGCATTTCCTCTTGTGAAGTATGCTTTTTATTTGATTTGAACTTCTTTTCTTTTCTTTTCACCCATAAGCTTTTGAAGGTGCTACTCCCTCTACAAATAAAAGTTGATATTTGCCAAAGTCTAGTGTAAGGAGGGACGCTGTTGGGAAGGTCTGCAAGCTGGAGCAGGTGGCAGCCTGGAACCTCTCTCTGTCGATGAGGGCAGGTGTCCTGTTGGTTCTCAGCTCACCCACCATCACCAACCTGGTAGCTCTCTGCTTGGCAGCCTTTTGCCACTCCTTCTCCCCTCTCATCCACTCCCATCTGCTACAGCATTCTCCACTGCCTGGGGGCCCAGGTCATGTGCATCAATATGCCAAGTCTGCCACTCAGAGCATAAAGATAAAGAATTGACCACATCCAATGGTGGGGATGTGGGGTGGTTGTTTATTAACACATTGAAAGAAGGGTAGAAATTTATAACCTTTTTGGTAATATGCACCAAATTGGAAAATGCACTGACCAGTAACACAGCTATTTTTTTAAATTGGAATGTACTTTACAAGTATATCTATAAATGTGTATCAAGTCATACATGCAAGGAGAGTCATTACAGAATTGGATGTAGTTGCAAAAAAAAAAAAAAAAAAAAAAAAAAAAAAAAAAAAAAAAAAAAAAACCAAAACAACGGAAATGTCCAACACAAGCAAAAACAAGTCATGATACATAAATATCATGGAATACTATGAAGCCATTAAAAACAAAAATCTATAGATATTGTTATAGAATGATTTTTAAAATACATTAAGTGAGAGAACAATATATGCTATTTTTTGGTGACAAAAGGAAAGATATACACACATATATATACTTTGGATGCATAGAGTTTTTTCAGTGGACACACACACATGCTCTTTATCTCTTACACACTCAGAGACACACACACACACATGCTGGTTACAGTCCTTACCTTTGGGTAGGGTTGTACTATAGAAGACAGAACATACTTTTCTACCTCACATTTTGTGTATTTTTAAAATTTCTCTTTCTAAAAATCCACATTAAATATAAAAATTGGCATATAGCCCAATTTTTCACTAGCTCCCTCTTGCTGAGGAGATGCCAGCGGTGCATGAGGGAAGAGTACTTCCGGGTCAATGGTCACTTGGACCCACGGTCATCTCCAACTCTCCTAATCCCACACCAGGCTGTGTCTGCATTGACTTGCCTGAGTTCCTCCGTGTGTATTTAGAAGCCAGAGCTGGTTCATTGAATTAAGAAGATGCAGATCACGACCCACTGCATGAGGAGGCACAACCACCCACGTGGGTGGGCAGGTAGGTAGCTCCCTCCATAGCCACACTCCCACTTTAGGGATATGAACCACCCAGGGACAGGGACATTTTAATGAAAGGCGCAGTTTCAATACACCCACACGATGGAAGCAGAGTCACAACATTTATTGTTTACAGATCCAGAGGAGAGCCTGAGGAAGGGCAGTCCCCATCCTGGACCACGAACAAGCAGGAGACTGAGAGCAGGAGACTGAGAGCCCCTGTGACTTACAAGGTGGTCGGGGAAGAGGTCACTGATTTTTCACAGAATGAAATCCAAGTGGTTAATTTAAAAGGTGCCCCAGAAAAAGCAAAGAAGGAACTTATGGAAGAATTCTAAGCTTGGGTCCTTATCTAAATTTCCAGATTTCAGGAGTGAACAGGGATGTCATTTTGTAAAACGCCTGGGAGCAACTCAGAAAAACACCAGCTCATTTTTTTCAAAAGTTGTTTTACTTCCCCCATATGAGCATGGAGAATGTGCACTTTTTCTGATTGATGGACACATGGTTCTTCTTCAACTCTGATCCAGTGGTTTGAACAACGATGTTGCAGCTACTCAAATCAGCATCTTGACACCAGGACCTCACGTAGGTCTCCCACTCTGGGCCATAGTGACATTCCATGGTCACTTGCAGAGGAAAGGAGAAGGAAGGAAATATATGAAGAAAAGAAAAACATTAATTTGAAGTAGGAAGGAAATATAAAACAGAGAAGACCAAAAAGCCAACAATTGCTTTTTTTTACAAAAACAAAACCTAGAAAGATATTCATGATAAAAGGAGAGATCTGAATAATTGATACCAGGGATGAAAAAGGTATTCACACAATATCCTGTGCATATATAAGAAGGTAAGATAATTAGGGAATAGGATAATAAAAGGATATCTAACCAAGTTTAAGCCAATAAATTTGAAACTCAGGGTGAAATAAAAAATCTCTAGCAAAAATTATGTAATGTGCTAAAATAGGAACAAAGAGAAATGGAAACCGGAATCATCTTACAACTATTTAAATGAATCATATTCATTATTAAAAAACTCTCCAACAGGCACCTGGCTCACTCAGTCCTTAGAAAATGCTACTCTTGATCTCAGCATTGGGAATTCAAGCCTCCTGTTGGGTGTAGAGCTTACATACAAAAAAGTAAAACACCTCTCCAAAGGGAAACTCCAGACACATAGAGCTTCAATGGAGATTTCCACTAAACATTTAAGGAAGAAATAATGTCTATCTTACACAAAAAATTCCAGGACATAGGAAAAGAGGATGCAATCCCAAATCCATTTATGAATCTAGCATAATCTTGATTTCAAAACCTGACAAGGACAGTGCAATAAGAAATATTATAGGCAAATCCACTCATGAACATAAATGCAACCAAAAATCAGCAAGCTGAATCCAGGGATATATAAGCAAGATAATACATCCTCACCAAGTTGGGTTTATCCCAAGAATGCAAAATTGTGTGAACATGAGAATATTAAGAAGTATAATATGCCACATTAAC